GTTCTAGAAATGTCATACAGATATATTACATCATTGTTTTTAGTCATAAAATTCTGTTTGTAAAAGAATAAAATGTGTCGTAACATTCGAACGCTTTCAACGCTGCGTCGTATTGCGTAAAAGTCCCTAATACTTAAAATATAAATACATAAACAAACGTAGTCTTAAAAAATATAAGGATTATTATTAAGAGTTAAGTATATTCATGTGTTTTGCTTGCACAGTGTATTAAACTTTTTAACGCTGTACATCTTCACCGATTTAACTTTTAACGTTCATGTGTTGTAGGCTTAAAGCAACTTATGATGAGAAAATAAATTTTTGTATTTTCCTTTTACAAAGTAATCGTTTGTATGTCTAATCTTGATCAAAACAGTTTTAATTGGCAATCGCAATTATTTGATTATATATTTTTGTCAATGTAGGTATACCTACTAAAGGTATCTCAATTGGACTTTCGATGTTTGTTCTATGTCTTCGATCGAGGTTCCCTGTAGGGTAGTAGCTATTAATTGACAAAGCGAGGGTGCTGATAATTGAGGGTTTTAATTACAATAATTATTGGGTCATCTAAATCAATTAAAGGGCTATAAAACTGACAATTGGTTCTTATTGGTTGATTGCATGGGAAAACAAGAGAAAAATGTGTTTCATCATTGATTAGAACAAACTAATATATGTATTATCTACTCAGAAGCATTGTTACCCATTTCTGGAAATTTAATATTACAGATAAAATAAATTCATACTTTTAGGTTAGTTTTAGGTGGGTTATGTCCATAGAAAAGGTGTTGAATAGGAAAAACTTTCTTATTTTTCGTTTTAACGAAAAAAGTTACTCTTGATAAAAAATGTTGCTGGTTCTTAAAACAAGATTGGAATAGAGAAAGATTTAACTTTTCTTGTACGGGGTGCTCAAAAAATTGAAAAACTTTAAATGGTACAAGAGTAAAGTGCACTTATTTGTGAAGATGTGGAAATAAGTTGCTAGGAAAAGTTGTACAAAAGTAAAAGGAAGTCTTTAGAAAATTTGGTATTAGATCAATTTTCGACAATTTTTATTAATTTGTAATCATTAAATTTATTTTATACAAAGTAAATTATTCCAAATGAACAATTCGCAAATTTTAAAAGTTTATGTACTCAAACACACTGCCACCATATTGAGCACGTTTTTAAACGGACAAATAATTCATCAAAACTTCTTCTAACCTCATCTAAAGATATTGAAGCAATAACGGTATCTCTAATGGCATCCTTTTATTGATCAATATTGGAATCTATTAGAGGTGTGCGATAAAGTTTTGTACCATTTAAAGTTTTTTCAATTTTATGAACACCCTGTATAAGAAATGTTACATTTTTCTATTCCAATCCTACCTTAATTTAGAACCAGCAAAAATGTTTATCAAGAGTAACTTTTTTCGATAAAATGAAAAATAAGAAAGTTTTTCCTATTCAACACATTTTCTGTGGACATACTGTATAGAGGGTGTTAATTATATACTCTGCTTTATTAAAGGATTCTACGTCACATATCAGTACAGTTTATAAACCTTCGAATGGTGATCGAAAGTTATTTTACTATTTAAAAGCTTAAAATATCTCTCTAAAACAAAAATATGTAGTTATTTCTTTTCAATAAAGATAATAATGCTGAATGAATTTTCGGACAAGAGCAAAACTGTGTACTTACTTATTTTTATATTTTCGTTCGATTTCAAACAATTTTGTGAGAGTAACACAATATTTTGACGTTTTCGTAACATAATCTTAAAAAGAACATTAAAAACTTCCCCGCAAAGATTTGGAGACTTTACACCGAGAATATGACATGAACGACATGCCAGAAATGAGGACAAACTTTCCTAATCCACTTGAAATCTTTCCGATAAGTTTTTCCTTGATTCAACCTTAAGACAGTCGCTGTGGAGTCGATCGTAATTATGATTTGGTGCCAGGTAATACGGCGTATCTCTGGAGAGACCGCTGGCAAAGCTCCTTTCTCGATATTGGATTTATTATGGGAGATTTCGAGGGATTGCCCGTAACGTTGAAGATTCCGGCTTAGTTTCGAAATGTATATATCGCTAAAGGCAAAACCACGGCATTATCATTAAACATTTATGGGTTCGATGAAAAGATGTATCTAATTTTTCTTTCTGTAGGGTCGTAGGATGATTGTAATCTGGAGATCTGACCGAGTGATATTCACTAAACAAATTAAAATCTATATAGAATCGTTGTAGAACGAAAAATTAAGATATGTTGGGAATAGGTTTTTATCTGTTTTTAATTCCAATTTCAATCAGTCTAATTTTTTTCTGAAGCATGGGTATTTTTTTATTTTTAAAAATATGTATTCTCTAGTAAAATCGATCGAACGTAACTGAAATACCCAGTGTTGGATTTGGTGATGTTGCCGGTTATAAGTACAAATATCTTGGATAAGGCATATTATGATACTTAATTAACTTGTATTTCATCAGTTAGATAAATGTTTCCTTAGGTAATAGAAAATAATTTACTTACCTAATTAAAAATTATGATATGCTTATACTTATAGAAAAAAATATGATCTTGATTCATGACATTTTTCTTCTCTAAAGGTCAATACATATATAAATAAGGTATATTGTTACTGATACGAACATCTTCCCCTATTAAAATTATTATAATATCTAAACAAACTATAAAAAATAAAAGAATTAATTAAACTAAAGGAAGCAATTTTGGCGGAAGTTTTTAAACATTGCATAGGTATCTACATATAAACTGACAGCAGGTTCATATAAAAAACTTAATAGGTAATAGCGTTTTTTTTACTTCATTTAATGGGTTACAAAATTGCATATTGCAACCGAAAAATTTGCTCCTTTTTTTGCTGTGAAGATAAATAAATTCTTATTGGTTTAAAAAATTAACTAGATATAAGAAATTAATTTTTTTTAAATTGTACTTAGATATCTACCTATAAGGTAGAAGTTTTTTTAACATATTTAGTGTAAGTAAAAGTATCGAAGTACATAATTTTCTTAATTAAAAAAAATCATTAATATTATTTAATTAATTTTAACTTTGTCGACTGTATTTTTTATTTAGTCCTACATACGTAGTGGTTAACTTCTATAATTTTTTTATAACTTTTATAATTTGTGTTATTGTTAACTGTTTTTTAACTCTTGTACTTTAGTAATCTGATTTTGTTAATGCATCTATTTTTATTAGCTATTTCTCCCACCTATTAACTGGTTTCAACTGTCAGGTGGTGTAACTTTAATAAATAAATAAAATAAATAAATAAATAAAGAATATTCTCATATTAGGATTATGATTTAGCGTACCATTTTAGCAATTAATTGTTCTTAATTTAAAAATTACAAATCGCCATTTCAATAATATTTAAAAAATTTGTATGTTGCTGATTTGTATACAAAACTAAAAAAAAACTGTTTTACGGTTGATTTAATACTTATTTTTTGTTGAGTAAACGAATATGTTTTTAATAAATTTTAAAAATTTAGCCACAAGTAGTTACGTTCGTATTTTGTAATACTTAGAGGTACAAGAAGTTTTTTAACGTTTGTAAAGCTAGCAGAAGTATCTAATGTATAATTTCATTAATGAAGAAACCATTCACAATTATTATTCAACGATATTTCATATTACATAGGTATGTAAATGATTTGTCTGTAAACAATTAAGTACTGTTGGTATTTATCCCTGATAAAAACTATAAACCTCCGTACACCCTTTCAGTGACATCTTTACCTCAGAAAATTTAAGAATTTGTGTACGGAAAAAAAATCCAGTAAAAATATATGGCAATTTATTTACTCTTCATTTTTACTGTAATTTTCTTCTTGTCTGTGATTTTACAAATAAAATGTGAAGTTCCATTATACAATTACCTTTCAGTGTAATTTTACTTTTTCGTTTGTAACATTACTAATTTTTACAATTACTTGTAAAATTGTAAAGTAGATTTACAGGCAATTGTATAATTTCATCGTATAAAAATGCATTTTTGACAGCAACAACAATGTATTTTTTATTCCGTGTACAGTGTGTTAAAAAAAAGATACATATGTTGTTACAGCACTTCAATTTACTAAAATTTTGACATATCAAATATATTCGAATTTGGGAAACTCCTTATAACGATAAGAATAAAATTTAATATTCATATCAACTTTCCAAGTGTATTTGAAAAATGCTTCAAACTTTTACAATTTGTGGCTTGGCTATGTTCTTGTACAGTAAGAGTAATAATTTTGTAGCAAATAATATATTTTACCTTAATGTTAAATGAATGTCCACGTTAATACTATTCAACATTTTTTTTGAGCCAGTGTGAATTCTGATTGAATGATAATATAAAAAATTATATATTTTTTTTCTTTTGAGTTAATTATATGAAGTATTCTATCTAGTTAAAACAAAAAAATTGTGGATATTCTTCGTATCCACCTACATTAATGTAGGCTTTAGATTAAACAACAATTTTTTATGTAAGTTTTGGCGCTTTCAATTATTTTCAAAACTGACTACCTAACGAAAATTAGTCACATTACAAGATAAATTATCCATGACAAATTAAGTGCGGGACACTAAAATGAAGATCTACAAACAGAAAACTGCATTTTTCTCATTGTTGAAGTAAGTACACAAAGATTAAGTGTATTTTCGCAGATATTTAGATAATAAGTATCGTACATTTAGTAATTTTACAACGCAAAAGTTGAAGTTATGACATATTTTGCAAATATACGATTTACTTTATAATTACGAAGGGTGTTTTGTATATAAGTTTTTTTTTTGTAAACCTACGAGGGACACTGTAATATGGTGCTCATTTTTAAAAAAATTTTAAGACATTTATAAGCAAATTTTTACAAATTATATTTGTAAAGTCACTGTCCTTTTTTTCAGTGTATGTTCCTTTTAATTTTACAAATAATCTTCAATTCTCTGACCCTAAAAGCTCGACTATCCCTTACCTTCCCTGCCTTTCGGCGTGACGATGGTGAAAGCGCTGTGGCCCGCCGGACTGGAAGGTGCCGAATCCGACACGTTCACTTCCGGACTTCCGGAGCTGTTCCTGTTGGACCCGTTGCTGAAATCCAGCGGCATCGCCGGCTGAGTGCTGAGTTCAAGCGCCATTCTACCCGAAAATTAAAAAAAAAAAGAAACAACAAAATACCCGTTTCGACAACCGACTACCACATCACAGTTCACAAAACCACTTCGGAGATACCAAGCCGGAAGGTCACTAGTGTTTACGGGTGATAAGCGTGGCTGCACGCGATTTTTCGGTGTCCTTCTCAAGGATGTGGAGGTAAACGTGGTTTACCAAGATTCGACCGGCAGACAACTGTTTGATACGCGACTGTATGGAGTGATAAGCTGGAGTTTGGAGAGCGAGGAGGTCCCGGTGACGAAGTTCGAGCCGTTATGGTCTCTATCGCAAGGGTAAATTAGGAGAAGGGGAGGAGTTTGACGGCTGGCCCCGCCCTCGGTGACAATTGAATTATGAATGAAATAGTAAACAGTTTATATAAGGATTCGATTTTAATTGCCCACTTTGATTGCCAATTACTTCAAATCTATACAGGTGAATTAAAACTGCGAATTATACTTAAAAGTCAATGAAAATTGTGGAAAACTGAATAATAATTTCTTTATTTCTTATAAACTTAAGGTCCCTCCATGACCCAAAATACCTTTTAATAATTCAGTACGTTCAATATTTAAAAAATATTTTCATTTGTTAAAAATATCATTAAGAAAATTTGCAAACGTTAATTATTTTTTGTCCGTACCTATATTTTTTAACTAACCATTATTGAAAATAATTCCTATATCTATTGTTTTAGTTAATTTTTTATTATTAAATCAACCATTTCCATCTATGAAATATCAAAGCTTCAATAGATTACGAATAACCGTATACTAGATATGAACTAATTTCTTTTGTATTCTTAGTTTTACTAAGATTTTGTTCCATCAATTGCATTATTTTTACATTTTTCTACACCTCCGAAAAGAAAACTGCGATGAAAATCTACTAGATTTATCTCTATCCATTACTTTTTAAACATATGGACTCGAATTAATGCCCCATTCCTTGAAACCGATATTATCCTGAAAATCGGTCGATTAATAAGGCGCTAAGTGACTGCAGATCGTACAATTGTCCTTCATCTAGCTTGCTCGCTTTCTAATAGAGTAAAGAGTGGGGCCGCGCCACCACCCATTGGCTTCGGTCCGCGCCCCGCCCACTTCACTACCCGTGCAAATGTTTGAAGTCCTGTTTCAGCTATTGTTGCCAACTACTGCCGACTGAAATTTGCATCGGCTGGCACGACACTGGGGTAGCGATTGGGTATGATGAGAGAGTGTAGGATTTTCCGGGATGGATATTGTTATTTGGGTAATTTGGCGGTTAGAGGAGCAATCTTGCTTCTGACGGCCGAGCGAGATGGTTATTAGTTTCGGAATGAGTATAGAGAACTGTTACCGCTTGTGGGTTTTCTGTTTTGTAATAGAATTTTTAACGGCGCAGGTAAAAGGAGGCTGACATTTCCGTTTTACATAAATATTAATCCAGTGAGTGAACTTTTACTTAAAAATGAAAAGAAAATATGCAATTTTAAGTAGTTTTTTAGTTTTAAATACACATTTTTTATTGTTAGCCCCTGCATTTTTGTTTACTTTAAACGTCTTTAACTAGCGCAAACTAACTTTATTTTAACAGAAACAAATTATGTAATAAATTATAATTAAAGAAAAGGATAACATTTCAAAAAAATTGACGTTGTCAAAAGTTTATTTACCTACATCACTAGGTATATGGATTATAATTATTATTCTATCTAAAAAATTATTTATTTGCCCATGTTACTAAAGTTTCATTTAAAAATACTTATATTCTATTATTAGTTCTAACACATTTTTACTCATTTTTAAGGTTAAGTTAATTCAAACAAATTCAAAAAAATCTTATTAATTAATTTCTATGACAAAGCATGCAATTAAAAAGAAAATATCTTCTATTCTTGTTCTCATCTTTTCTAGAACTATAATATTACTTTGGACAACCATTAACAAGCATATTACTTTTATAAGCAGTCTCTTTTTAAAATATTAGAATTAAGTAGGTAACATTACTTAAATCAATGTGTTTTTGTTTTGTTTTTTTTAAGAAAAAGCAATCTTCAATCTATTCTATAGATTTAAAAACTTTATTTCCAAAAAAAAAACTGTTTACTTATATGTTAATATTCTTCAGATATATCTCTTCACATACAAAAAGATTACGTGTCAAAATGGTCCTAAATTGTCTCCTGTCATTTTTATTACCAATAGAATATTAAAAAGATATACAGGGTGAGCCATTAGTGCGAGAAAGTAAAATAACTTCCTTTTTACTCATAATACAGAAATAAAGTTTATATAATAGTTATACAGAATCAATAAACTTAAACTACAAAATTAATTTGATATATACAGGGCGATGAGTAAAAACGGGACACGCCAGATATTACATTTTTTAAATGCTATATCTTAAAAACTGACAACTTTAGGTGTAGAACATATTTAATAAAAGTTGAAGTGGACTGATATGTGAATAAAACAGAACGATAAAATACAGGGTGTTCCATTTGAAAAATTTTAGAAAATCAAGTTTGAACTTTCTTAAAATGATCGTATTATAAAAATGCCCTTTATAAAATATCGATATTAGCTAATATAGTCTTTGTCTAACATTTGCCTATAACTGTCAAATATTTTTGCACCAAGTGTTAGTAGTTGAAAGTTAATACAACTTCTTCGAGGTCATGTTTTTTCCAATATTTGAAGAATTTTCTACATAACTTGGCAACCTCGCATTAAAATATTAAACTGTGTATATTACCATATACAGAATTTTCTCAGAAATCCATGTTTAAAAATATACAAAGTGTTCTATTTAAAAAATGTTATATTTGGCCTGTGCCGTTTTTACTCATCGCCCTGTGTGTTTCAAATTAATTTTTTTTTATTCTGTACAACTATATACATTTTTTTTCTGTATTATGAATAACAAGTGAGTAACTCACTGTGAGTTATTTTACTTTCTCGCAGGTCGATACAGTGAACCTAAAAATATAGTGTTGTAAGATGTATGTATGTAACAACTTACCCTCTACTTCTAATTACTTCTTTTAGCCGCTAGATGGCACTAAACTTTTTGACATTATAGTGTACTCCCAGAACTTTAAAAGGTTTCTTTCGAGTTAAATGAAATTTGGTATTCTAGTACCCGCTTAAGTAAATTTTTGACATAGTAATCGATGCAAAGCTTGTAACTGCATTTATATAGGGTGTTTATTAGGTAAGTACTTTTAAGATAAACATTCATATGAACATGGGTCTGCAACGGCTTGGTTCTTGAGATAGAGTCCAAAAAAAATTTATGTTTCAGCAATTACTGTAAATGTTAACTTATTTGTAGGAGTACTTTGGTCTTAGTTTTATAAATGGTCTAAGTTCGTCACATCGCAATACAATCAATAAACATTTCGTTCGTAAAACTTAATGGAGAATAGGCATGTTTAGTCAAAAATGACATTGAGTTTCTCATCATCAATACTCCCAGTTTCTGTTACTGGACAAAAAATATAATCAAAATACCAAACAAAAATTTTTTTTGTTTGCTCTGTATCTCAAGAATAAAGCTGTTGCAGACCCATGTTCATATACTTTTTATATTAAAATTAGTAAAGGATTCACCCTTTAAAGTTTGTACAAGTTTGTATAAGCACCCTGTATAAGCTCATATATTTTACCATAAAGGCTTAATAATTCTTTCTCTCGTAAATTTTTTGGAAGTACAATTTTCATGAAATTCATTATTTTATTAGTCATCATCAATTTTTAATATAAATCTGATTTAACTTTCATCAAAAATTTTGTCGCGAGTGAAAGTTTCTATGACAAAACGTGCAATTACAAATTAGGTGTACAAAAAATTTGCAAGATGGAAGCTTCTGCCCTAATTTTGACATAAAAGCTAAAACCACTTGCCAAAAAACATGAAAATATTTACTTAGGGATGGAGATATTCTCCTCAATTTTGTAAATGTAATTGTTTTGGTTACTATATAACAAACTGATACTGATATACAAAATTTCATCTCAATCGAATTTCTGTAAGTACATATTTAATAAAAATAATTGTGTTCATAAATGTATTCAATTAACTTTACTATCCAGCACAAACAGCGTAGGATAAATATCACACACACACACACACATATCACACTTTTAATTACAACTTAAAAAATAACAAAATAAAACTACAGTAATTGCCCCCTTAAGTTCCTCACACATTCCACATTTAATTATTCGAAAACATGCGAGCTCTATTCTAGATTTACTGAAACGATCAACTTCAGAAATAGATCAATTTTTAAAGCAGAGTACCACAGTGAGACAGCAAGGATTACCCAACCAAAAACTGTAATTAGGAAACGGAAAAATTGGCTTAATTAAGAAATTTACATATCTACGAAGAGTGTCAGGGCAGAGGCCATGGGAAGGGTGTTATTGTTCCAGTTAACAAGTGCTGCTCACAGAAATCATAGTTACCACATGATATCATTGGCGTTAGTCGCAGCTGTCTTGTCAGATGGCTCAAAAAATAAAAAACGCATTGTACAACTTAATAATCATGTTAGTATACATCCGGTACAGAGACCTCGCAGAGAAAGGTCGTAAGTATAGAGAAATCCAAAATAAATCTTTTACGTCAAACACTAAATCTTAGGGGTGTTCCGCACAGTCCGACTTTGAGCGGTACTGGTAGCGATACGACAGATTTTAGCACATATTACACTTATTGTAAAGTGACAAATTCCACGAGTAATAATTAAAGATCATTTGTCATGTGTGTACGTTATCCTTTACTGTTTCCAAAACATAATAAAACGTCAAAACGTAAGTAAAATATGGCACCGAACTGATGAAATACTCGGGTACAATTGCAAGTGCGAATACGTGAAAATATCTAACCTTGTATTGTAAATAATAAAAAATCATAAAAAAAGTTATCGTTTAAAGTAAAACATATATATTATCACTGAATTAACGTAATCTGTTACTAAATCTATACCGTGTTAACTTTGTTAGATATATATTTAATTAGTAATAAATTAAGTGATAATGACAAATCATAAAATCGCAATAATTTTTCTCTGACATTAATTTATATGCCAAGATTTAAAATCAGACGTTATATCCCACCTATTATTAGAATACAATAACTGTTATCAGTAGTAAATTAAATATTTTATAGGCGTTGTATA